ACACACACACACAGGGTCACCTGATGTGAAGGCAGAGCAGACTCCCCAAAGAGATGCACCAAAGCTCTTTAAGTTGCTTTGAAACAGAAATGGCAGCCAGGACTCTGCAGTAAGTAGTTCAGTGCTTCATGGGCAAGAGTAATTTCTCACCCCTCACCTGATGCTGTTGAAAAGAGCCTTCCATCCGAGAAATGGTTCTTTACACGGGTTTGCCTTGAAGTGAAATAGGACATGGAATATTTTACATTTGAGAGTAAGTCATCAAGGCACACTTTGTAGATGAAGATGGGGCTTTGAAGTGTTATATTATTATTAAAAGCAAGTTGTTGGTGGGATAAAGTCTTGAGAGGCAAGTGTCAGACATTTGGAAAAGACCCTCAGATGAAGGTAAATTTCTGCTAGCATTTGGTACTCAAAAATAAATAAACACAGATCTGCCTTTGCCCTTTATATTGCAAATTAGATGAGGGTTTCAGTGTTTCACACTCATAAGCATAGTTCTTAATTTTTAAGTCTGCACATTTTAAACCTTATTCCTGTCATAACTCCATCCAGCTCAGTCAGTTGACTAAGGCAGAGTCTGCACCCTTTAACCTGGAGATAAGACTGAAGGCTAAAAAGGTTGCAGGACCTCCCTCCCACACTATACATGAAAAGGACAGTGGCAAAATTGTATTAAAGGAGAAAATACTTGTCAGTGAATGTCAGAATATTGTGTAAGTAGCTCCATTCTGCAGTCTTTTAGCCCATTTTTTAGAGGATTCATCACTCTTGGGGATGCTCTCAAAGCCTCAAAAGCTCACAGGAAGTACAAGCCTCTCAGGTAGAACGTTTCTTCATGCACTTTCTCCCTTCTACATACACATTGCTACCATTAGCTGGCAGATTCTGCCACTGCCATTTATAGTGCACTAATGACTCCTTTTGAATTCTTTGTCTCCTCTGCTCAGGACAAACCACACTATTGTGGTGAAGAATAGTTGTAATGGAAGTGGCAGTGAAAAACTTTGAGCACTTCTAGTCTTGCTGCTTAAAATAACTCTAGGCACCCTGACTATCTTTTAAGTGCATTGGACGATTTAATCCAAAATTGATGAGAGGACAGGAGTCTGAAAGAGATGAGCTTTCTACAAGCTACCTTAAAATAATGAGGCAAGTTGAGATAAAGTTACAGACTTAAAGGCAAAAACCATAAAGCATATTGTTGCTTCCAGCTTTCTGGGTGGTTCTGAGAGTTAAGAGTAAGCTGGGGATATTGTGGAGAGAAGTGATAATTTTTGGAGCTTGTAATCAAAGAGCATCAAACATATTTTGGTGCAATCAATACACTTAACAAAGAGGAATGGAAAAACACAAAGAGGAGAACTTTGTACCAGGAAACGCTACAGTTCAAGTAGTGAATACTTTGGATCTCTGGCCGTGGCTCAGGAAAGCCAGTGAGTCCACCTGTGGCACCTTCCACAGTGCTGTACCCCCAGAAACAGGTCTGACTGTATTTGTACACATATTTAGGGGAAATAATTGGAGGACAAATTATAATCTTCTAATGAATGTGCTTTTGACAACCTGTACCACTGATAAGACGCAGGAATTAGCGTTTCAGACTTCACATGCAGCTCCTGGACAGAAAGGAACAGAGATCAGTACCTGGGCATGCTGTATCTGTCCAGGTAAATGCCAGTTACAGGGAGATGGTTATTTCACTCAATTTTGAGGATGTAACAACTCTGATGATGCAAGATTATTATATTATGGTTCTTTTTTTCATATTCTTGTTGGAAATACATTTCTGTGCATCCTGTTCAATTCCAGAATTAACTTTCAGGTCTATACATGTCAGTACTGGAACCTGCTCTTTGTAGCTGTTGAGGAGTTTATTTATGCATTCTCTTCAGAGGGCCAGAAGAGATCATCCAGAGAGTCAAACACACTTTTACCCTTCTAGATATCCAGAAATGGCAGCAACAACTCAGTTAATGGTTTTTTTGATGCTAAAGTCGTAGTACAAGTGCAGCACATAAGCATCTAAGCAAATTACCATAGTTTTTTTCTTGCACAAAAACTTCTGTCTTTATGACCATAGCTCTATGTACTTTGCATTTGCCCAAACATGTGATACAGTTAGCACTGAAGTTTGATAATAAATCTAAATAAACTTAAATTTGTTACATACTGCTATACAAAGTGTTTGACAAAAATATTTCTGAACTGGCCAGACCCCTCAAGAATACAGGAAGGACATCATAGAGTTAAATCAACCTGCTCAGGCTTAGCTGTGTGCAAACAACATTTACTTGTTTGTTTGTTTGTTTTTAAGGGTCCCAGGAAGGAAAGGGTTTTATGGTCCACTATATTGGGATAAAACTAAATGCATTGAGAATGGACTTCTGACAAAGTTTACTTGAGTACAAATGCTCTGGCATAAATAAAACAATTCTTAATTGTTTTGAAGGTAATAGACACTGGGAGCACAAGGAAAAATTTTCATCTTAATATAAGAGAATTTTTTTTCAGTGAGAGCAATTGATGCCTGGGAGAACCTCCCTAGAGACGTGGTGGAGTCCCCATCACTGGAGGTTCTCCAGACACTGTGGGGAGGGAGCTGGATAATCCCTTCTGGAATCCCTTTTCCACAAAACGTGGGAGCAGGGGATCTTTTGAGGTCCCCACCAGCCTGGGGTGTTGTGTGAACATCACATACCATTTATTTCACTGGTAAAGGTTGCTGTCTAAGGGAACTGGAGGTGACCCAGGAAAATCATGTGTTCAGAGAAGAGAATCTTAGCCCTTCAGGAAAGCTGTTAGCATTTACTGATGTTGCAAAGGGAGTTAAATCCGAGTCTGAAAACAGTCCATTAAGAATTTTTATGGAAGGACTTCTACCAAATGGCATGTTTGTAGATTTTAATCAAAACCTTTACCATCCTGAGTTAAAAAATTGCAGCCTTACAGTGCAGAGAAAGGGCAGTAAAGTCTGTACAGCTCCTCAGTAGTGAGTTTCTGTCACATCTCTCATCTGTTGTATACATTTGTGAGATTGGATGCCCTTGGAACTATTTAGTTACATTTGTGTTAAAAAGACCTGTATTTGACAAAAAGTTGGTGCATCCTGAATTCCAGTTGGTCCTAGTATACCAGAGGGCTGAATCTTGGATATTTTCCACACCACTGCAGTGCCTGTTCCATGCAGGAGTTTGAAAAAAAAGCTTTATTAAGGTTGATAGTTGTTCATAGCTGTTCTATATGAGCAACTAAACATCTTTTCCTAACAAGTGTATAATAAATTTTTCTTCCAAATTGTCCCATCTGACACTTCAAAATTAAAAAAAAATAAGAAACAAACAACCAACACTTATGTTTGAAAAGGTGTATTGGAAGGAAACCCTTTTGAAAATTGTTTTGTATGATCGTAGTTAATGCTGAAAATACAGAGAAACACATTTCTTGCAAAAGGGAGAAATTTTAATCTCTTAGGAGTATGGTAGTTTCCTAACTAAAATCGGACAGATTTGGTTTCAAATGTTATGACTTTTGGTTTTACTTAATCATTTAGCACTTGACTTTATTCAGAAGCACTTACCTGAGTCTTACAGTTCTTTGAAGAGCATAGGATATTTCTTATCTTTTCTTTCGAGTTGTCCCATTTGAAGAAGAACATATGAATGTTAGTTTACTGTGGAGGTTTCCTGTGTAGGGTTAGAGTGAGCTGTAATGTTCATATAATTCCTCATGATTCATGGAAGAAAAAGGATGTAATTCTCACTGCCCAGGGCCCACAAGAACAGTGGCCCTGCATGAAGGCAGGTTTTGCTTTCTGTTTTTGTTTTTCTGAGTACCCAGCTAGTCAGAGCTCACAAGAGCTAGGCCTAAGGAGGGTTGTTATGCAGTGCCACGCCTGAGCCACTTATTTCTTACCCTCACAGAACAAGGTAATTTGCAACAGCCCAACAAATCAACAAATCCCACTCTTGAAATCTGTAGCAGCTGTAACCCAGGTGAGTCCTTACAAGGCTTTCTGCTACTGGGGAGGTGAGTTAAGGTCCAGCATAGAAATGTTTGCTTGATGGAGCGCAGCACTGGTGCCTCATTTCCCAGAAGGGATTCCTCAAGTGCAGGGAGTCAAAGCCATCACCATGCAAAACCAGACTCTGTGTAAAACAAAGGGGTCACAAGAAGCTGAACTGCTGACTTGTTATGCCACAGAAAACAAAGGTTTTACTGTTCTGGGCTGCAGAGTAAGGCTAAGTCATGATGCCTCCAGCAGCAACTCAGGACTCCTTCAGGAGCAAACAGCAGGGAAGTTTTGCCCAATTACACTACAAATGGAGATGTACACATGGTGTAGCAGGATTGTAATGAATTTTTGGCCTGGTATAAAAAGACATTTTCAAGAATTCAACTGTTAAGAATTTTGTGTAAATGGTGTATATCACAAAAGCAAAAGAGTGTCCAGAAGTAAATGGGTTGGACATGGAACTGGAGGCCCATCTTGGGAATTGTGCTCCAGCCAATGGTTATTGAAATAGTTGGGTTCGAGTTTCCACATTTTAAATATTTTTCCAGTGTGTCGTAGATTAAAAACACAGATGGAGGTTGCTGGTATTTTATTTTAGATTACGTAGGCTGTTTCTTGAACCAAAACACTAATTGAAGCACTGTCTTGCTCATGTTTAAATAACATTTGAATACGATGCTTGTTCTGATGTACAAAATGCACCGAAAGTACACTATTTTAGTGAATAACCTTTTGAAGATGTAAACTGATACTAGATATTAAATATTAACAATTGAACAGGTCAAACCCTGTCATTCTGTAATCTGTATTAGGTACTGGAGTACTGCAGAAAACTGTAACTGTAGCACCAGCAAAAAAGCTTATTTGCACATTAATTGATTAACAATACCATTTTAATAGGCATTGTAATCTAAGGCTGTAGCATCTTAAGAATTTAAAAGCAACCACCTGTACTACATCAGTGTTCTGTTACCTGCATCATTTATATAAAAAGGCACTGAAGTCACCTCCAGTACCTGAAAAGGAGCTGGAAGCTGTTTCTCATCGACATCTCTTCCTCAGCAATGATGTTCTTCAGTCTGCCCCAAGTCTGG